GCCAAATTGGCATTTGCTGCTTTGGCCTTAGATACGTGGTTGAAAATCTCATCAACCACACACTCACTGACACAAGAACACCTATTCAAGTGCACAAGCTTTCTGATGACTTCCAAAGATCCACATCCAAGGGTGAGTGCAGGTACAGGCAGTTTAACGACACGAAAAGACGTACCATAATAGCGGGTACTGATCGCTAACTGATGAAGCGAGATCTGAAAATTCTTTGTGTTGTGGTCTTTATGTTAAAGGCCGAAAATTCTTTAACCTGGCAGGTCTGCCCCAGTACCATCTCCACTCTTTAGAGCTACCTTGAGAATGTCACCCGAAGCAAGGTTGCAAAGAAATAGCAAAGTCGGTCAGCTCTGCATAACTGCATTGTTAGTTGGGAACAATCTAGGTGGTAGCTGTATAACGTTAATCTACATGAAGTATTTTTGTATAAGGTTTTTAAGACGCTAACATCGAAAAGACACATCTACATAGACGATTTCAGAACACAACTCTGTTGAATAAACTGAAGATAGGCACTAATAACGAGAAATATAACGATCGTTAATCCACAATACGCGTGATGTTCGAGCATCTGGTGGAAAGCGAAAACATGACCAGTGCACTCGCAACCTGAAGAAAACAAAACATGCTCCTTGTCGATCAGTTATTTATACATTTTATATAGTCTACGAAGAATGATAATAGCCAATACTGTAGACGCTACAGGAAGCAAACTGAAACCTAAAGAAGTTGTAACGAGATCGATGAAAGTGTTTATTGAGGGGTCATTCTTAGAAGTTGCAAGCAAGTTTACTCTATATTTCCATGGCCTTCTTGAAGAATCAGATACTGCTCATTTATACCTTTTGAGGGTTTGACAGCTAACTGTAAATTTAGCTCGGTTCGGTGTTTAGTTACAATAATTGAAATAACCAGTTCGCTTCCGTAGCCCTGTTTAGGGCAATGATTTGGCGACCAAGAAAATGTACGATGAGCCTACCACACAATAAAGTGTGGTCAGAGTCCAACTAAACGATATAGGAGTGGCAGTCTAGAATATATCACCACAATCGGAAGGTAATATCTATTTGACTTCAGGCTTCAGTGACAGGAGGGCACTAGGTGGCACATCAGTTATGATTTTGGTGGGAGCTGGTTCTAGTTAGAAACATACCGTGATCTGCAGACGGCTACAGAGAGCAGTTCCCACTATCTAACCTCCAAATGATGAATCACCATTATCTCCCCTACTAAACAGCTCTCCTGGGAACCAAAATGCCTGACTTGTGCCTTCATGTCTGCAGTTAGCAACACGCTGTGGCGTGAGGTTGATTGAGGATATTCAGCTAATAGTAAAACATCCTAAATAGCATCCAGGCGAATAACGCGAAAAAGATGTTTTATGCAACCCCCCTACACTGCTACCTTCATGATTTTGTCAGACATCACAAAAAATCCATAGCCAACATTAGCCTATAACTTTGAAGCTCAACTAGCATGATCAGTTTTGTAATCTGACCATATAAACTGAAACTACCAATTCAAAGAATAGAAATTCCTACAGTGTAAAAAAAGGAGTCTACGATTCACAAGAATATGACCTTACTCATGAGAAGTTCATATTAAAAGTTAATTAGCACAAATGAACTGTACATGGAAGCGAATTTGTAATATCTGTAAGTTAAACATATCAATAAGATAACACAAACTGTACTTGATAATTATATACTACCTCATATGAACACTGAGTGACTTTTGTGCATAATAAGGTGTGATATTGAACAACTGAACTACATTCCTTGTACAGTGTGATTAATTAAGGAATGTACAACCTATTAAAAACACTCACGCAATATACCAGCGTTGCACATCTCAACAAATACGCATATAGAAACATCGTATTACAGATGCAAATTTGGAGAGAATTGTGATACTCAAATAAAGATTTCAGGAGTGTGCGTTAAAAATATGATGAATAAAAACTGCATAAAGTAAGTTTACGTGTCAAAGAAATACACCTTAATCCTTTCTGGAGCTGAACAGAACTCAGAAAATTCTTTAGATCAATCTGCAGTTAGTGGCTAAGTAATATGTGTATATTTCGAAATGTGTGCACTTTCAGTCCTTAAGCGAAACAAAGTACCAATGTTATAATTAGAATTCTCACTAAATAATAATTCAGTTGTTATTCGTTTAGCACTTAAACGCCGTTTTGCGGCATTCGAATATTATGCATATTCCATGATTACACTCATCTTTATTACCATAGTTGCATAAATCTAAAGTTACAATAATAAACAGCTTTGATGTTAAGTAGAAAATGAGAAACGATAAAACGTTAGTGCGTTTATATTTTTTTAAGATAAAACTTCTCGACTAGTCCATTCTCAGTACAACTATGAAAAAAATATAGAGTGAAACAATATCAAAGTTACTCTTCCGTTGTGAATTACAAGTGTTGGGGGAGCTTAATCAACTGATATATACATAATTTGTTTACAATCCTGTCAGTATACACCACAAGCTAACTAGTACAAGAAATGAAATGATAATGGTACAACTCAATAATCGTGTACAGTTTTGAGCGATAGACAGTGCACCACGTGCAATGTAAAAGCTAACTAAACTATCTGACCGCCTAAATCTCATTAGGTGAGACAATTATCCAATGGCATTCCTTACCTGAACGATTGAAATATGACGTTTAGAAATTTAATGGATTCCAATTTTGAAGCGTTACAATGACGTTTTTCCGTGAATATCTAGATGATGGATGGAGATACAGGTTCAATAGAATAGGCCATTAAAAATTAATTTAATGGCGCACGGGCTAGTCTAGATTTTCTGCACATTAGTCCACATTCAAATTATTACTCACACGTGTATTACAAAAATATTCAAAATTATAATAAAAAGTTCCTGTTTTACGTATCTTATCCGCATAATATGGAAATATGAAAACACTAAAAGTACCTATTCATCATATGAAAATGTAATCCTACTATATCAAAATGTGGGGAATTTTTCAGAACAGTTACACAAAACCTCTAGCTGGAAAAACCATCTTTGAGTCTTACAGTTGGAAGGATAATTTTATGACACTACTTTTCAGGATTCTGTTTTTAATTGATGTTTGTTTTATGCATCATGGTTACAACTGGTTTTTGACGCTAAGACTGCCTATTCTTCTACTTTATGCTACGAAGCCCTTATGTAACGGTTTTGAATTTTTGAAACTTCATACATAATATCGCTGTTACCCAGCAGAATATGCTTCAAGAATGCCAGCTGCACCCATTAGTTTAAAATGTTGCCAATTTTGATTATTATGTCTGCTGAATCCATTTCACTTGTAGAGACCTAATGCAAATAAAATGAACTGAATAAGAATCCTCCCGGACATCCACCATCACCAGTGGATATACCTGAACAAACACTGAATCGAAAACTCAAATCCTAATTTCAGCTTTATGGTTGACAGGTTTCTTGAATGTCAAGTTGTAGGCAATATTAATTTTGCACGTGACACTTATGAATTTTGCGGTATCGGAATTTCAGTGACTCAAAAGGGAAGAAGCAACTATTATTTCAAATTGTGGATTGCATAATGTCACTATTTCTTTTCTGTCTACTATCTACAGCTTTTCGCCACTCTTAATTACTTTTTAAATTCAGAGATAATACGCATATCTTTCCCTCACCTTTCGCCTCCTCTTCGCATAAACGGATTATTAACATTAACTGTATTAGCGAATCATCGACATTGAAATGCACTCCTTATTCCCTCACGAAGACTTGAAATTTATCACTACTAATTACCTGGAGATCCAAAAGCCAGATAACACATGAGTTGCTGTCTGTTAATTCTCTTATCGATTAGCTCAAAAAACACCCAACATCAAAAGTGCCAGTCTAGGAAAATCTTAATTTCCAGACTGTTTTAACTAAATCTTGAGGCTGTATTCCTTTTGTTCGGTTTTACTGCTCCGGTGGTGGTAGAAGTCTCTCCGATTCACTGGTGTATAGCTTTGGAGGCAGCAATTGTTTGGTAGGAGTTTTCAGTTTGTTAATTACACGCTGATTTGCTTTGAGCAGCTAAGAGCCTACTAATGAAGTCAATGAACTTTTTTCAGTTCCTGTCTACATAGTTTACTGTTTGTATGTATTGAAGCGTTAACCTAAATATACTGCGAAAGGTTGACTGGTGATTAGAGGTGAGTAGAATGAAGAAGTGAAATAGGGAGAAAGACCAATGGACAGTAACAGTTATCTTAGTATTAATATGAGGGGAGTGTGGTCGCTAGTGTTTAAGGTAGGTTGGGGCAGTGGTGGGCATGCGTAAGCATATGTAGTATGACCTATCAGTGCACGAGCCTATCAGACTATGAACCTAAAGTGCAAACGAATCGACCAATGTAAATCAGAACGTCAACCACAACAATACCAGCGACGAGTGAAAACAAGAAGAAGAGAAGACACCGTCGACAGGAAGCTTTTTACTATCTCAACAACAGTCAATACAGTCGACAGCGATGCTGAATATATGCATTTCCAAATTATCTTGACAACACTAAATCCACATATAAGTGAAAATAGTTAACAACCAGTGAGAGTTCATTCAGTCTTGAGAGCAGAGGTGAGAAAAACTAGTAAAGGTGTGAAAACAGCCATGCAGGTTATTTAAGGTCATGAGCAAAAGCGATGCAAAATTAAGGGTACGTGGCAAATACTCCTTGAATTTTTGCTCATGACAGATTTTCAAATGACATTCTCATCCCAACTATCAACCCGCACCAGCCCTGCTTTAAACAAAGCTAACGCATAGATCACTTCTATCTCAACATTCTTAGTCTGAACTAATAATCTCCATCCCTTCCTAACCACCATTAGCATGACAGAAATATGCACTACAACTGAAATCACTCGATCATCTAAAATTGATCTAAAGAATGTCAAGATTCATTGGTAATTACTGTTTAAAAAAGACTAGCAAAATTTAGGTCTACCTCTTTGACTTTATCACGCATTTTAGCGACTGTTGCATTCGATGGGAGTCCACCTTGAGTTTCTTCCTGGGTAACAGGTGTTCCCTCTTTGAAAGCATCAATTGACGGAGAAGCAATAGCCTGCTTGATAGGAAGCGCTGGTGTGATTTCATCTGGGCTGACAACTGATGGTACTTGAACCGGTGCCTGGATTTGATGAACATCTTGTTCAGCCTCTGGATGGTCGATTGGAGCAACGAATTTTGATAACTCTGGATTTGAGGAAGGCAATTTATAATCCTACAAAGAAAAACGAAGCACTGAAGAGTAATAAAAATGACCAAGGCAGCCTTAAACAGAGAGATTAAGTGACATGTATGTTTGTGGTGTTTCGCCATACATTTTGGGGAAACAACAAGCATAACTTATTTGTTGAGGTGTTGAATTTGTAGACAAGGTTCCTGAGCTGCCGACCAGTACAGACATGTATGTATGTATGTATTCAACCTCCACAGTGGTAACAAGACGTCAATGACACACTTAATATCGACATGGGACCTGGAAATTCTGAGTAATGGTTCAAGTCGCCACAAAACACAGTTACATTAGGATGCAAGGGAACAAGGTGATAAAAGGGGAAGCAGAAAAGCCATTAAGAGTAGTAAAAGTCATGAAAGATAAAGTTATTTCAAAAACGAGATGCGTTGTGGCAAATATTGAAAAATCAACGTAGAACCTCGTACATAAGTGAGTCAACTCAAGTTACCACACTTCACAGTAGCATACAAAGAACCAGGGTACAAACAGTACACGAAAGTGTGTAGGAGCAAAAGTATTTGGAAATCAAAGTAAGTGAAAGTGTTCGAGCTTGGAAAAACATGGAAGAATGAGTATATCTATGTCGTTGTGATCAATTTTCAGGCATGTCACCAGGGGTCTCCAACTAATGGTTCCTGTAGTCCTGAGGACCCAGACGAGGCAGTAGTTTACACCTGCCAAAACGACTGAGACAAACTCATTGACTTCACGCACATGTGCAACACATATCCAGGCTATCTCAATCGATAAACGTTCATGACTTCATCGACTGACTTGCTTCCCTTGCCTGGTACCCTTCGCTAACCTCGACACTGACAACACGGTGACTTCACCACATGCAAGCAATGCCACGAAAACATCTGTATTCAAAAACCTGCCATCTTTTCACGCCTACTCTCAACTACCATATGTCACGGCCATATGCCAGAATTGAGCAGACTGAGGACCAGTATTCCCAACCTTTAGTAGGTAGTCCGATGACTTGCTAGTCAACGCCAGAGATGATGTAAGTTCGCAAACTTCAAACCTGCTTTCTCCATACCAGATGAAATTCCGTCCACAACCATCCCATTCGGGCTGATGCAACTCCCTAACTAACGCATTGAACCGTTTCACCAGCTTTCTTTAAACTGGAAGTAGCTGTAAACCAAACTTGAAACATCATTTTACATTTAAGAAGTGCGAAACGCATGACACATGCTGATACCTCTGCACAAGGCGTTCAGAAGACTGTGGATTTTGTCAGCGTCTGTGCCTAACAGTAAAATGTCATCCCTGTACTCTAAGTCAACCGTATGCCCTCCAAAAAGTGGATCAATCCATGCGAAGTCAGAAGTATGAGGTAAAGTCCATTAATTATCAATGACGCAATCAAACAGGAACGGTGGCAACAAGAATCCCTGGTGGATACCACTGGTTATCAACAGTTCAGATGACAACTCTCCACAAGCCGTTAAACAGCGTCGTGAGTTCGAATAGAGAGCTATGATTAATGTTATATATTTGCTTTGTACTGCCACAACATCTCACGGTCAACACAGTGGAATACCACCTTCAAATCAAGAAATATGGCAGTTGCCGGTCGTCAGTATACCTGTGTTCCATAATCTAAGGAAGAGTGAAGACCTGATGGATATGATACAAAAATGCAGAATGAGGTTGGGTGAATACATCAGCGTCGCTGATATTGATTCTGACCCATATCACCTAGTTTCCAGCCATCGTTCACGGTTGATACACAGAGCCATAAGTATCGACGCGCTGGTCTCACAATGCAGTATGCTAGTGGAAAACCAGACTGATTTGATTACTAGTTTGTGAGTAACACATTTTAAGGGATAGTGAGACAGATACGACATGAATTCTTAAAGGTAGAACATTTCACAATTTTAATGGTCAAGAGAGATAGGTATTTGATTTTATGCACACCAACCTTCTGTAGCATTTCATGTCACATAACAAAAAAATTCTGGACGTCTAAGACATTTTACAGTGTTTACAGCTTCATTTATCTAACAACCCAGCCGCATGATCAACGGGCTCCACCCACCACATTGAGACTTTTTGTGTTACAACAGTCACTGCTTTTGGTCTTGTTTCTCTTGTATACTAGAAGTTCAGCATATAACTATTCATATCGATAAGGCTTGATTCAGTCACCGCACTAGATCAATTTATAATATCGTGAAGTCAGAAGTCATGGTCAGTCTTAATGAACCGATAATGCGTAACATATTTTGCCTATACCTCATACCCGTTGTACAAAATTCGCAAGAGTGAAAGAAACAAGTGATGAGTTTTAGTAGAAGGCAATGAACTCGAGATAAATGTGACGCATTTCAGATATTTTTGTATGTTACCACTTAAAATCATAATCTTAGTCATCAAGATATGCGGTCATATTGCTTAACATTACTATTTAAATTACAAAAATTGTATAACGACAGCTAACAACTGATTAGGAAAGAAATATACTAAACTGAACTATGTAGTTGTAAGACTATAATTTTGATAACCAGGTGTATAATTTCTATGATAGTAGTTGCATATTTGTTTTCACAAAAATATTAGGATATCATAATGAGCCAAGAAAAGGAAGAGATTTGAATTTATCATAACACCCAATTTTACACATAAATTATTAGTACATAAAGGTAAATGTCTTGATCGACTAGGATGAATATTTGTATGTGATATGTAACAGTGCTAGTCTTTATTTAGAAAGAAACATCTGCTACTGGAATTAATTAGTAGGCTTAAATTGTCGTTTGTTTTGATAGTACGTTGTTTATTTGTAAACAACATGATCAATAATTCAGTAAAGCAGAACGAAAACAATTTTGAATTTCATTTGCTTTATTATTTCGGTTCAAAATCCGGAGATAAGACTCAGTGATGTGAAAAGAATCTATATCGTGTAATATACATCAATGAATGTGAGTCAAATAAGATTCACATGTGGATGCATCTAATATTCGGTTTTATATGTGCTATTCAAAACAGTTGCAGGCAACAAAGGTCATACATACGCACATAGAGATCACTTTTGTAAATGTGAACAAGTAGTGTCTCTGTTTTGTAAATGATTTATACGATGAAGAATAACTTCGTTGTACTGAACCAATGGACATTCGACGTTGTTTTTCTTGACTGACAAAAACCAAGTGATCAGGTAGCCGATCACTGCACATTTTAGTGTCTAAACTGAAATAAGATGCATGACTCATGGGTGTATCTGCGATACATCCTCCCTTCTTGCATCATACACAAAAACATGCCAACGATCACATCACAGAACTGTGCAAAGTAAGCATATCTATTATCTACTACAACATTTGATGAGGAAAACAGAAAATGGAATGTTTTTTGTCCAGTAGTCAGTCATAAACAATAAACAATTACGTAAGAATAAGAAAGCAAATGAGTATTGATAAAACAAGCAGGGGAAGAGGTGTAGTAAGTAACACTAAAAATAACATCATGCTGACGGTCATGTTAAAGAAAGTGGTTGAACAAACTTCGTATGAATACAAAGGTTGGGTTTTTAAAAGTGGATTGCAACCGCCTCTACTATGTGAAGTAGGGGAATGCGGAATTCAGTTCAGCTGCACCTGTGGAGCCAGTTACATTAGGTGTACAATGAAGCAGTTCTATCGTCAAATTTCTGAGCACCATCCATCATGCTTGAAAAAGAGACAAATTAGAACAATACAGAGCTCTATACTTGCATACTTAGTTGACACTGGACATCAAGTGGATACTAGAAAAGAATTCAAAATTATCCATTATATACCAATTAATTCACCACATGGATAACGCATTAGTCTACTTCACATAGTAGAGGCGATTGCAATCCACCTTTAAAAACCTAACCTTTGTATTCATACGAAGTTTGTTCAACCACTTTCTTTAACATGACCGTCAGCATGATGTTATTTTTAGTGTTACTTACTACACCTCTTCCCCTGCTTGTTTTATCAATACTCATTTGCTTTCTTATTCTTACGTAGTAGAGCACCGGTAGGGTACCGGGCCGGTAACTCGGTGGTTGCTGGTCCGAAACCGGCTGCGGTTCAGATTTTCATCCGAGTATAAATATCAGTCAGCCAAACTACAGATATCTCAAAGAGTCAAATGATAATCAACATGATGCTTCCCCTCTCTGATTCAGTTAGATTTCGATTGCGATGAGAAGTCAACACTATACAGCCAATGTGAATACGATCAAGAGGTAGTAACGCATCACGAATTTATATGGTAGTCGGGCAAAACCCTTGACGATTGAAGTGAAATAAAAATCTGGTCAGCAGTCGGACCTCGTAGCTCAGTTGGTAGAGCACTGGGTCGGTAACCCGGTGGTTGCTGGTTCGAATCCAGTCGCGGTCCAGATTTTTATCTCACCTTCAATCAATCACCCAGAATAAATACTAGTCTGTCAAACTACGGCTATCTCAGATAATCAAATGATCACTCGACAAAAAACAGGGAGATGGCAAGAACAAAAATGTAACCAAACCATGAAATCTTTAGCTGTTTGGCTGTAGCTGAATAAAAATCCGCTGGATACCGGCATTAACAGAATATGGTGGTCAAAATGGTTGTGACTTGATTCGTAACTCAGTGACGGTTCATCGTGTGTAGTATCAACTTATTTTCATTTCAATCTTGAACAATTTAGTACTTTAAACGTTATACTTCCTTTCTTTTGTCTTCCTTGGGTTACTTCTAACTTTTCGCAAAACTATAGAGACAACTAGTTTTTCTCCCATGTAATTGTTCTTTTTTATTTCCAGTTGCTGTAATTATGTATAGTGCGAAAAACTGACCAGACCCCCCCCCATGGTGACATGTCATTACGTTACTGAAGTGGTGATTAGGTATGACGTCATACATTTCAGTGACAATACTAATTCTCCTTTTATAAGAATTAAAAAACTTCCAGCTTCCTGATGTTATAAATACAGCAGAATATATTCAACATGGATATCTAGCCAGTACTAGTTCAACCGCACTTATAATGCGGAGGTCGAGAGGAGAGCGGTGATGCACTGGTTTAGGCACTTGATTTCCAACCGAAGGGTCAAGGGTTAAAAAATCCAGCTCCATCTAACGAGGTTTTAGCAGCCAGGCAGTGCTGTTAACTCACACAATACACAAGGTAGCTGGGTGGATTTCTATTTCGATCTAGAAATAGCTTTCCACTGTTGATTTGATCAGTTTATTGGTGACGTATATTCTTGATAAATTTGTAATTTAGTCGACACGTGAATCGATCCTCATGATTGTCTAACTGCTGTTAGGTGTAGTGTTGGGTAATGAAGTCTTTTTGGTTAGTCAGTCAGACTACATTAGCATAGGTCCCAGAAATCCTAAGTTACCGTACAGTTTCCCAGACTTTATGTCAGTACGTAACGGAATAAGACATCAAAACGGAAGACACAAATGAAGTAATTCAACCCGGGATAGGTTAATGTACCCAGGCTGAAGCAGTCGGTGAAGAATTTGAACCTGGGACCTGTTACTTGAAAATCAAATGCCGTGGATAAAAATAATGAATAAAGTAATCAAAAGTAGTACAGGGTCACCAGAAGAGAAGAATAAGGGATAAAGCAACAATGAGATTAAATAACGGTAGTGTGTGAACGTATGTATGACACTGACACAGATTCTAAATCGTATTATCAGAGGCCTCTTACTATAGATTTTGGCTGTCAAATGGACTTTAAACCATCCCTATACCTCCCTTCACTGAGAGTTAGAGACTTGTGTGGATCCCATGTTTTAGACTGACCACTTCTTGCCTTGAGCAAAAAAATAAGTATGTTCGGTTTGATTTTATACCTGCCAAATGCAAAATGATGGTCCCTGACCAGTATATATCGACTCCAAGTTTAGAGCTAGGGAGTGAAGCGGCTCAGTGCTTTAACCATTCGAGGCTAAAACCACAAACTTCTTCACAGTTACTTCCAAACTACAATTAAGCAAAATCATATGGGGGAAATATGTTAAGTGTAAGAATAAATTCACTCACTGATTCCTCAAATAAAGAAACGAAAAAACTCGTCACAGTGAGAAGGATCAATACAATGGATATCAAAAGTAAAACACGCCGACATCGGAAACTACGGATTCGAATTTTCCTGAAAGGTAAAATACAAAATAAACAAAAGTAATCGTACAGTAGCCAGCTGTAAACGGAAACATGGTGCCAATTACGGAAAAAATCTAATCAAAGAAATCTTCAGATGTACTAAATCATATGTAAGCAGACAAGAGGCTAAATTTTGCAACAAGTACTGAATCAATTATCTACTCGACTGCCAGCAAACCTCAACTTTTACCGTGACGTATGGAAGTTGGAACCACATAAATTTAAGAAATTAAGGTAAGACATGACAATAAATTCCTTGAACTCAGTTTTATATCATCCAGACAACCATACATTTATTTATATGTAGGGTATATGGTCGCTAGCCCTTAAAATCAATACACATTTAAAACAAACTTGTATAAAGATGAAATATCTAACCAAAAATGCTTTCTCTTTAATATGACTTCATCACATATTTCATAGTCACGCTTCACTTGAATAAAAATTAGTCCACTGACAGAAAAATATTGATATGTAGTAAAGGTGATAAGAGTCAAACGGGAATTTGAATTGTCTTGACTATCTAAGCTAATAAGCTCACACAACTTTTTATTTTGGCGAACAGGAAGGTTACCTGAAAGAATAGAGACTCGCTTAAATGAATAGGAGAAGCGTTGATTAATTTTCACTACTCCATAGGAGTCATAATTTACGCTCCCTACTGAACTAAAGAAAGTAGCAATTTAATAAACTTGTGCAGACTTATGTATCATGCCAAAAGCCAACTCGATTGTTAGTGATACCGTAATGGTACTACAGATTTCACAAGATAAAACTCACGAAGAAGGTTTGAACCTACCATGTGAAAGTTTGGCGCCTAGATTATTGAATCACAGGTTTATTATGCAGTGTGCAAGTCAAATATCAGTTTAGTGATTCACATCAAATCCATGACCACTTAATTGGATCTGAATTCACTGAGAGTGGCATCTTAAATTTAAAATACATTAATCAATCTGGTAAACGCTAACGTTTATAACAGATTGCTTTACAGATTACAAACTGATGATAAACTCGTTCCAAAACTGTTTACGGTGATATGACATTCAACTTCTAATTTGTTTCTTAAATTTATTACGGGTTGCAGCATTACTACATTCGAAACGCGAAACCTGATAGCATTACTGTGGGGATTACAATGGAAATGCCACTCATGAGTGAAAATAAACCAGCATGTTATAAACAGAAGCAATACTCATACGATATCAGCGGTGCTTAAATAGGTAAAAGTTAATGGTGGGCGAGAAGAGGGGAGGAGCGAGAAAGAAAACCAAATTTCAAAAAACTAAACACTGTCAATAAACGTTTGTAGCTGAATGCGTAGCTACTAGTTTTCCCATGCCATTTTATAACAATGAAAGTACTAAAATCCTACCATTCAACCCTCAAATGAAGCAATTTGCTTGGCTTAGTTCTCTCATACGGCTTAATTTCTGCCTTCCAGTTCTCACAGACAACATATAGACTATTTGCCAGCCTGCTTTCGAGCTAATTTCGCTCTGTATTATTCGTGGAACTTACAATAGCTGGTTCATGGTCGTCGACTAAACTGAAAGCTGCTGAGACCCATTACCTCCTTCCAAACTTTTTCTGAGGATCAGTTACGATCTTTAACGCTGCTTTTACAGAGGACTGGAGGTGGTGCCAGGCTTTGTCCAGATGACTGACATTGTTTTGATAACTGTCATGCCAGTTCCTCGTTGAAAACAGCCTTAGTATTCTCATAGAAAAGAAACTTGACAGATATATTTACAATTTCAAGCAACATCTAATCTAGCAGCATACTAAAGGTAGTGAACTATAAAATTATTTCAGCATGATAATTCTCAATTAGTAAACGACAGATAAGCCACTCATCCTGAGACGGTTGGGGAAATGCTAGTTAATTATTATGATGAGGTAAATATATGGACCTGCGTACTTTGATTTGGTCACTAGTAATTAGGGTCTAATATTTTGTGGAGTTTGTGAGGATTTAGAGATTTTTCAAGTTGGTATTCATCGTAGACTGATATCAGTTGAAGAAACAATGGAAACCTGGTAGCACTGGACAGCTGTTTCGTCTTAGTATGGGACTCTTTAGCTTAATATTAACGTGCTGGTTACGGAACCTCAAGGTAGCGGGTCCGATCTCTGATGGGGTCGCGGGCGCTCACTGCTGATGTCAGTCTACGATGAATAATAACTTGAAATATCCCTAATATTTTGTACTTTTTTCAAGATTTCCTGTAGTTCACTTCCGTCTCGTTTTTAATACCCACTGAAATAAGTTGAGTTCTTAGTGAACAGCTATGTTCATATACATCAGGTTGATTCAAACTGTTAACAATTCCCAGATTGTAAGCTTCAACAAAAGACTTCTGACGACGAGACTATGTTAAATTTGTAACCACCACTGAACACTACCAGGCTTAGGCTGTTCTGGCAGCTTTGAGTTATTCGAAGACAAAGATTGTCGTCGAATCCCAATTTATTTAGGTTTGTCCTAGTTTGTCTAAACATTGGATACACACTTATCACGCCAAACGGGTTACCGAGGTATAGGAATAGCAAGGAGAAGAGTTGGCAGGGCTTGATACGCAAATCAACTGTTAATATTACTTTTCCTTTCGGTTCCTGGTGGGACATAGGGCTTCTGTTGCACGCCTCCATTGCACTCTCTTCTCTGCAGTCTTTTCAACCGCGCTCCACGACTACCCACAAGCCTTCATTTTCTTCTTCAAACGATCTCCTTCATGTCACCCACTCCTCGGACGCCCAACTCGTCGTCTCTCCCTTCCGATTACACTCGACGGCCTGGCCTGGCCTGGCGCGTGATGCCCCCAATCCGTCTCCTCAGTGTATGCCCAATCCAATTCATCTCCACTTTCTTCTGCATATTTAATGCATGATAGCTTCTTGGTTGGTTCGTCGCCAGCCAGAGTTTCTTCTTGCTCATTCCTATTATTCTGGCCATCTGATCTGATCTTCAGTATCCAGTGACCGAGGCGGTAGCTGTTCATGTATCTCTGTAGTATGCTGCAAATGCCTTCGTGACAAGCCAACTTTTTGAACCATCACATAGAAGCACTGACTTGACTGAATTAATGTTGAAAATCTGGATCTAGTTCACGCTTTATGCTGAGCGCAGTAGATCTCCACACTGATTTCAGATCAATGAAGGCCTGTCTTGTTTTTCCAATCCTGGTTTTGACATCCTCATCTGGACCACCACCTGTAGTTGAAGAGATGCTGTCTAGGTAGGTGAAAGAGACTACTTCCTTCAGATCTCTTCCGTTCACAGTGATTGGTGCTTGTTGTTCATGCTATTGTTGGTTGGGTATCTTCATCACCTCCGTCTTCTCTGCATTCACTTGAAGTCCCATCTTCGCTGCCCTGCCTCTTCTGCCGACTTCTTAGTTCTCACCTGTAGATCTTCCAGTTTGTGCTACAAGACATCAGACATAAATCATCATCATAGGCGAAATCCAAATCTTCCACACTCTTCTCATCGGTCCAGCCAGCGTATGATCATCTTCTCGCTCCTCACAGTTTGCTGCATGACCCAGTCCAGTCGACCACAATCAGGAAGATCATCGGTGACAGTAGGCGGCAGCCTTGTCTTACCTGTCAACCTGTCTTCACTTCGAAGGTGTCACTGACCTTTCCATTGTGGATCACTTGGCATGTGGCGCTTCATGTAGCTGTTGAATGAGGTTGATAAAGATTTGTGGCACTAAAACCGTAGTGTTGAAGCAACTGCCAAATTACTTCTTAGTCGACGCTGTCGAAGGCTTCCTCAGAGTCGATGAAGTTGAGGTAGAAAATTGACTGCCATTCTATGCTCTGTTCTACAATGATGCGTAGAGTTGCAATTTGGTCCGCACATGATTTTTTCTTCCTGAGGTCAGCCTGTTCTGGTCGTAATTTTGAATCCAGCTCATTCTTTAGTCTCTCCAGGATGATATAGCCTAATATTTTACTTAAGGTGGATAGGGACAGCAGCATGATTCCTCCCCAGTTCTTCTAAAGGCTTAGGTCTCCCTTCTTTGATAGTTCGACAAGGTAGCCCTTCTTCCAATCTGCGGGTACCTTCCCTTCTTTCCACACCTTCTGCAACAGTGGTGTGAACATGTCCGCTGCTGATGTTTCCGAGTCTGTTTTCAGTGCTTCCAGAGGAATTTCATGTGGTCCTGCTGCTTTCCCGCATTTCAGTAGTTTTATGGCATTAAGGGCCTCCGATTTTGTCGGAGGGTTTGTGTTTACTGGTAGTTCTGTGGCTGGGCTGCTGAGGGTATTTCTGGACGAGTTGTAGATGGTGGTCGCTTCAAGGGTTTTTTGAAGTGGTCAGCCCGTTGTTTCCTTTGTTCCTCCTCTTTGGTAACCAGCTTTCCTTCACTATCTTTTATTGGTTTCATCTGTGTTGATCTCTTCCCTCCCAGACAGTAACCTGGTTATTTGATACTATGTTGTCAGGTCTCTCCTACCTGCAGCCTGTTCTGTTTCACTTGACAATGTGTCATAGAAGTGTCTTTTGTCGTCACTTCTTTGTCCAATGTTTTATACGTTGTACTCAGTTCTTCTTTTCGTTGTGCATTCTTGCACTGGTTCATCTGCTTTACCATCTTCCTTTCCCTGCTCTATCAGCTTCCATGTGTCCGTCGAGATCCATTCCTTGTCTTATTTCCTCTTCCTTCCTAGTACGGTTATGCAAATTTCTTTCCATATAGCTTTCAAAGACTTCCAGTGTTCCTCCACGCCCGGTCCTCCAGGGATGTTGTTCAATGTCTCCCATTTTGTTCTGATGGTTGACGTGAAGATGTTATTTGTAGTTTTATCCTTCAGTTTATATTCTGGGTGTTAAACTTGAATTGTGATCTATCACCAACTTCTTGGAAGGCTTTTAACTTGATTTGGAAGGTCCCTTGCACTAGATAGTGGTCTGAACCTACATCTGCTCCTCTTCTTGATCTTGTGATCTCCAAACAGTTTTCCGTTCTTATTCATTTCACGCAAATTAATAATACTTGATGCAAATTCAACTGTCATCTAGAAAGAGCAACACTTGAGAAAATATTTGTGTTCGTAAAAGCAACGAAAATCCGTTACGATTACATACTAAATGGGTAGTATCTTTCGACTTCAGTAAGATTTGAGTTAAATTATTCTGCATTCCATTTCGTAGCAACAACTGATAATTCGCATCATATTGAATGTGTACTTGCAAAATAATGAGGTAGACAGAATTTCGATTTTTTGGATTTCAATATGCAGCTTTTAGACACTGAAAATTTTAGAGTAGGCATCAAGGAGAGGCTTAAAATGATGATAACTTCTGTCTTAGATAATTCTTTTTTCTAACATATCATATGAATACATGCTTACAGAAAACGAATTTCACGTTGAAATGACAAGAATAAGCGAATAATGGACATATGAAAGTGAATGCGTGGGAAAGCATTGGCCACAACCTAGTGAGCAGTAAACTGTCAGAAACAGTGCACAATGATTCAGACGAAGTGTAATAACGAACAAGTATCTGGTGTACTGTTTCAGGTATTTTGAGTGACAGATTATGCATGTTACTAAAAGAGTATTGAAATCAAAGATGTTGAAGGGAATGCATTCAGAAAAAACTAAATAAATTAAACTGCAAGACTTACATATTTTACGACTTTGAAAACAGGTATAATTATAAACTGAAGGGCTTCATTAAGGTCTGAAAGAAAATTTTCATGAACAAGACTGAGAATTATTCATAGACAACAGAAGTAATAAAGGGCATAAAACTAGAAACGAAATGGTACAAAAGACTAAATATCAGAAAAAGTCCACTGAAATGTTTAAGAGAGTACCACTGAAACCCAGCAAAAGAATTTAACCGAAAAGTGACACTAATGAGGTACAATATGAAATTAAAGACTGTTTAGAGTGGTACGCATTTAAGTACATTTTTCAACGCTGCGAATTAAGGGGATTTAGAATAGGTACGTTTGCTATCATATACTCGTAATCTTCTCTGGTCTATTTTCAAAATAGATGTCCCACGATCATAAGACAGTATATGCTATTGAAAAGCATACCGAACCTTCAGCAGATATTCAGATGCAGTGCCACCGCAACAGTCATGGGGCCTAAAAACACTGAATTACAGCTCAAATTACTACACTTCATACTAACAAGATACAAAATAACAACAAGGAAGCTAGAGAAGTAGTGGGGAAAGCCGTCAAAAGTAGTAGAAAATCATAAGATATAAAGCAACAACAGAATGCAATACGACTATCCAGATGGATAAGAGGAGCTTCTTCTAAATTAATGTATGCACGCGGACACATCCCTGCAGGTTCTGAGTACAATGAGGAGCAAACATAACTCAAATGTAGACTGACAAAACGTTTACGCAATGGCCGCGAACAGTGGTAGGCAGTGAAGGCTAGAGATAGAAAAGGCAGTGGCGATAGGTAACTGTAGACAATTATTTAGACTTATTAAGGAAACTAGGGCAATAAGGTTAGTAAGACTGTAGCAAAGGATGGGTCTGCGATTCACTCACAAGGGAGACGACTTGAACGGTAGGCAGAACGCTTCGAGAAACAGTCAAACTGACCTCCAGCGACTACTGCATTCAGCACTACCCAGTCGTATCCTGAGTGGAACATTGAGATAGGCGCCCAACATTAGCAGAAGTCGAGAAAGCGATAAGTAACTGGGAACGAGGACGGACAGCAGGACCAGTCGGACTAGTTCCTGATGTATATACGGAAGGCGGTGGAGTGATTTCAGTCAAGTTCACAGAAGTATTAACTAGTGTATGGGAGCCGAATATGACCGCTATGCCTAATCTCATCATTTTCTTATCTTTTCTCACTCTCTTTTACTACTTTCTATTTCTTTGACCGACTTTTTTCCTTTCATCTTTCATTTCATTGCCTTGTTACTTGATAAGCTGATATGAGGTGCGGCATTCGGACTATTATGCAGTAATGGCTGATTCTATGTTGATTTGGATGGATGGATCCAGATGAAAGTGTGTGGACCCTTCTGTGTCAATAAGATCGATTCTGAGTCATATCACTTGTAGTCTCAGACCACCGATTCTGGTTTGTCACGTAGACTCCAACCCGTGAATCGACGTTTCTCTGCACAGCTCAGACCAACAGTCAAAGGCTTCACGAACTGATATTATGTTTTAGTTTAGTTACCTTTAACCTCTTTCCTGCTTAAAATTAATTCAGTTAAGATTGAGCGACAGGGTGTGTGGTGACTCGGCACAAATGATTAGACAACTGAAGCCCTACCAAACCATCCACCTTTAATGGCCATCTTTCAAATCCATACAATAGGACAAAACCAACTGCTGTGTAGTATACTCAACCCCCAATAGGTAGTCGGGTATTTTGCTAAGACTCCATGTACTTCTAGTTGACCAAGCCTTTGGTACTCATGTCGAGATTTTATCGACCACCGACCCTTTAGAAATGATTTGACTACCCACGGAAGTGAAATTGTCAACGAGCTCAGTCTCTCTAATCCCTGTTGTCAGACGATGTGTTGATGCAGTCCAGTTGTGGAGCAGTAATTTGGATCTAGGTATTCAAGATAATCTCAAGCTGGCACTCAATACCTCAAACACAACTGAATCTTCTAAAAGTCTCCAACTAAATAGACTATCATCTGCTTACCCTATAACGATTGGGAAGTCTGTGACGAATTCAATGTCGACGCAAATGAGGGTGAAACCACTATCGCATCTATAACGAAGTCTTAAAAAATAGTGCGGAGATCGTTAAAGGACAACCCACCTGATTCCATATAGCAAGGTCTGACAACCAAATACAAAATTTCATTAATTTGATGTACTTATTAAGAACCCATTTCAGAGACGCTACAATACGGTCCCTCAACTGACAAAGTCAAAAGTCACCTTCAGGTCAATTAATACAAATAATCACGCACCGCAAAGTATCTCTATGTTCAAAAACCTAGTGAAGGGTGGAGACCTGATAGACATAGAACTTTATGCAATATATATTAATCAAACTTATTACTGTATGATTATCCTATGATTTCTCTCCTTTTTCTAAAACAACGACGATCAGCAACTGAGAATCATCAGAGGGATCATACCGCATTACCATAAAATAAATAACACTTTCCGTAATCTAACTGACAGTCATTGGGCATGGTCTTTAAATGTCTCTGACTCAAGCTTGCTGCTCTTCATTGTTTCAGGCTACTTACAGACTTCTAAGCTTCCAAATCAAAGAACCTTTACTTTCAGACAATACCTTAATCCAATATAGGAGAGTTGATTGAACAACACCTACTTCATTTGTGAACTTAACGGGAATATCTCAATAATCTCAGTGATCTTACAAAATGCACTTAGATAATATTGAATGTGGATGCTCAGATTCTTCAACAACATTTGTAATAACCGTGCCTTGGATATGCATAACGTCAATATTGAAAGACAAACAAAGCCAGCGTAGAACTCAGTAGAAGAGTGTGTCAGCCCAGGTTGCTACACTTCACAGTAGCAGCATGCAAAGAACATGAAAGTATATAGGAACAAAAGCATTTGAAAATCAAAAGTAGTGAAAATGTTCAAGCTTGGAAAAACACGGAAGAATGAATACATCCGTGCCACTGTGACTGATTTTCAGCCTTGTCACCAAGGGTCTCCAACTGTTGATTCCCGTCGTCCCGAGGACCCCAGCCAAGCAGTAGTTAACACATCACTAAGCAGCTGACTGTCGCAGAATTCAAAGACAGATGCCTATATGAAGAGATAATGGGTTCCCGAGCAGTGTATTTGCAGCTCTCCTTGCGTACGGTGGGACCAACGTATGACTAATGTCGAGGTTAGGCAGAGTATTGGACAAGAAAAGCAAGTCAGTCGATGTGGTTGTAAACCTTCACTGACAAAATTAGCTTGGACGTGTTGCGCAAGCCGACCCACAGCCTACCTTCACAATCAATGCTAGAAGTTGGGCTAGATTAGAAAATGGCTCAAGGTAACCAAGTTATGTCTCACAGCCGAATACCAGGACGGAAGACTGTAGCAGAGTATACTCGTCCTTTAACAGGTAGTCGGATATCTGGCTACCCAGAGCCCCAGGTGATGAAAATTGGCAAGTGCAAAACCTGTCTTATCTATCCCGGACGAGATTTCATTGGCAACCAGCCCGTTTGAGTTGGTGCAGCTCCCCACGTAAATAAAGTAGTCAATGCATTCTACCATCACACTCCCTTTGCTGAAACTGGGAGTAGCTGTGGGCCAAACGTGAAGCATCATCTTACATTTGAAAAGTGCGAAACGCATGACCCAGAGTTGGATTTCTGCATTAGGCATTCAGAAGACGAGTTTGTCAGCGTCTTGGCCTAGTGGTACAATATCGTTAGACACTGCAACAATCCCTCTCGGTCAACACAGTCAAACTCCATTTTCAGGTCAAGATATTAGGCAGGTCAGTCGCAGGTAGGCATGCTTGCGTTCCATAACCTGATGAAGAGTGAAGGTCTCATCGAGGCAATCTCGTCCATGTCTGAAACCTACCTGGCTTTCTTCAGTTCACCGTTATTGAGCTCCAGTTACGCACCGGATAACTACGGATCCCAGCATCTAGGACAAGGTTTTGGTCAAACGGATTAGCCTATGGTTGTCACAAGAAGACTTCTCTTTTGTCTTATAAACTAGGCTTTGTGAAGCATACCAACTTAATGGACTACCTCTGATTTACACTTGCTACATAGTACCTCCGTTACTCTTCACAATTTCATATCCTGGTCTTTTCAAGTTTCTAGGATATAAAGGCTTGTGAAGAGTAATGGCGGTACTATGTAGCAGATCCAAATCAGAGCTATCTCTTGAATACACCTTACAATCGATCACATACGGGATTAAATGCAACCTGTTCCCTGCGACAGGTTAGGGGCAGAAACACATGTAACCGTGCCGACGCGTGACCAGAATCCAAACAGGTACTTTGGAAAGAACGGCAATTCCCCACCGACCTTCAAAAATAGCTTATAGTAATGTGTTTGTGTCCATCGCTATGATTTCGGCGGAGGCCAAGCGAAATTGTCTCTTATCACGCTAGACGATAGTGCTGTTCTAGAAACAAGTGATTTTCAGAACAAAAGTGACAGTAGACCACTATGGTCGGTTATTTGGTATGAAATATTGTAGATGCCTTTTCTGTTGGCTTAGCCTCCATATCTGAGTATTTAATTCGATAAATTATGAGTGTTTTGCTATATGTAGTATCATCTGCACTGCGGTCGGTATGTAGACGGAAACTTAGAATAAGTACCGATAGATGTCAGTCTTTTACAGTTCTTAAGCATCTATTTAGTCAGACAGCACACAGACGATTGTCGATTGGTATCTGTTCGAGAAAAGCGCTTTCTGATTTACAACTTAATGCCATTCTCACACCAGAAATTTACGAGAGTTGGTTTTTGAATATTCATACACTAGTTAGATGGACTTATACATTCATGGAATTGGACAGATGAGGTCAAGTAAATAACCACAATCGGTCCCGCATTTTTTTTCTCGGAAAAAGAGCAGATACCCATAGCTTGATATTTTAGAGTTACGTCAAGAGACCACTGTTGCCTGATTTAGCATGGGGTTCGGACGCTGGCAGTTTCGAAGTAAAATTGATAGATGGACCTTGAGATACTAGGAATGGAGCATTACTGGGTTGGGTTGTTGGTAATGATCACAGAGTGCTTTTGAAGTAGTTGTTAGCGGATTCATATTAGCATCAGACTGTAAAGGCAAGGGCAGTGTAAGTTGTTTAGTTGGGTCTGTGATACTATTGTAAGCGTGCATGTGACTAGTACTTCTTCCTGTTTACACTGCACAAGCTGTTTCCATAGGGTATTTCGTAAAGAGAGAAGCACTGACTTGTGCAACCACAGAGCACTCGGAAAATCGGAAGTCTGTTACACACGCCTTTCTTATGATTGACGACATAACTAGATCCATACAATTCGCATGTCGGTCTACTCACTAACTGATAGCAAAAAAAGGATTAAAGTTAACTTGTGAAAACCAAAACATAAAAATATTCCTAACAAAAAGATGAAAACTCCACCTACGGACGTTCCAATTAATCAAAACCGAAATTATTTGGTACTAGATTAGGCCTAAATGTACTCGCAGATGAACCCTTAAAAGGTGTGAAAAACAGTAATAGAGCTAAAATTTCTTATAGTAACCCTCTATGATGATCAAAACAATCTTGTTCGGTGAATTATAGCCTTTGAAAATGTGACATGACCCTGGCACTCTTCGAAGAACTCTCAGGAGCCTCTTGGACACCAAATTGCGAAAGTTACCTGCATGTCAAGTAAGGCAAATTAAATAAGTGGTGGTTGTTCGTTGCAAATAATTTGACCAAAAACTTAGCACCACAAATGCCTGCATGGTCTGTGACCTTAATTATCAGTCACTGGATAGTACAAATAGTAATGGGAAAGCCAGACGTTTCGTCTGCAACACACTTCTGAAGACTTACAGAAATATTTTACCGGTCCGCATGTTTCTCTTGTGAGCTGAATGAACACTAAAATATGTTCAGAATAAGGACTGATGTGAGATATAGGTGAGTATCTGAATATTGGGTAAATTACTGATATGGCACTTCGAATGCAAGCTAATACATTTTCTCTCCTAACCACTGTTCTAGAGACGCTGAAATGAGGGAAGCATTTTTAATTTAAGACTTTAAAACAGGAGACTAAAGGCTGAAGAGAGATCACCTCACTAAATACGCATACGTCATACCTGCTTCCAATATCCAATATCCAATATTGATAGTGCGAGCGTAGAAAACTAGTAGTTTTTGATCTCTCGCGTCTAGTTCTTAGGGCTTGGTTCCAGTTGTTCGGTTCACTCCTGCAGTGGACGAGGAAATACCCTCTGCTTTCTTGCTTTTAGCTTCGGTGAGGTGGATGTTTTGTGGGTTAGTAGGTTGTAATTTGTAGAGTGATTAGGGAGCTACGGGCTGCTGGGAAGTTTAGAGAACAACCGTGACTCCTGTCTGTGTAGGTACCTGAAAGAGAATATTAAGGTAGTGGTAAAGGAATGAAGAGAGAAGTAAGGAAGAGTAAAAAAAAATAAATAAATAAATAAATAAATAAAATAAAATAAAATAAAAAAAATAATAATAAAAATAAAAAAAAAAATAAATAAATAAATAAATAAAATTAAAAATAAAAATAATAGTAATAATAATGTAGGGAAGAGGAAAGGGAAGGAGAATAAAAGAAGGGGTGAAAAGAGAAATGAGAACGAAAGAAAAGTATTTGGGAATTGCGCGAATGGTCGCGTGGGTTTGGTTCCTACAGAAGAATTAGTAGGTAATGTGGGTGTATTAAGGAGAGAGATAGTGAGTGGTAGTTAGGAGGGAGTTGGGGGCTACTGAGGTTGGTGACTACCTGAGTACGTCCGTGGTAGTCCATGCGAGGTGACATAACTGTCTAATCGCCTCTTGAAAGAGTCGATTGAAGGAGCTATAACGATGTGTCGCGGTAAGGCATTCCATAAAGCACATACTCTCAGGGAGAAAAATTTGGACCTGAGTGTGGTGTTGGCTCTCTGGTGTGCTATCTTAAAGGGGTTTCCTCGTGAAGATCGTTCAGTTGCAGGCAAAATTGATTTGTTTGCATGGTCTGCCTGATGGGCGATCTTGTATGTCATAATGAGGTCACCCCTTTTCCTGCGATAACCCAAGGTAAATAGGTTGAGGTGTTTAAGTCTTTCAGGATACGTCTTTCCCCTTAGCCCCACAACTGATTTTGTTGCAGTTCTTTGTATTCTTTCAAGGAGATTAGAGTCTCTCTTGAGTGTTGGAGGAGCCACCGTATTGAAGACCTCTAGGTGCGGCCGCACGTAGGATTTGAAAATGGTAAGGAAGAGTTCGGGAGTGAGGGCGCCAAGCTGTCTACGCAGAAAGTGTAGAATGGCGTTCGCTCTGGTTGTCATACCTTTGTAGTTGGAGCTGGTGTCCAAGGTGTCGGAGAAGTTGAGCCCCAAATCTTTCTCCATGGACACTCTGGTGATAGCACGGTTGCTCAACATGTACTGGAAGTCGGTCGTACTTGCCTCATTTTTACTTTGCACTTTTCCAAGTTGAAGCTCAGACCATTTTCCGACGACCAGAGCTCGAGTTGCTGCAAGTCCTTTTGTAGTGCTGCACAGTCGGCTTCTTCGTTTACCACCCTCCAAATTTTTATGTCGTCAGCGAAGAGGAGGATGGGTGAGGATATTTTGTCTGGCAGTCAGTCACTGGATAGTACAAATAGTAATGGGAAAGCCAGACGTTTCGTCTGCAACACACTTCTGAAGACTTACAGAAATATTTTACCGGTCCGCATGTTTCTCTTGTGAGCTGAATGAACACTAAAATATGTTCAGAATAAGGACTGATGTGAGATATAGGTGAGTATCTGAATATTGGGTAAATTACTGATATGGCACTTCGAATGCAAGCTAATACATTTTCTCTCCTAACCACTGTTCTAGAGACGCTGAAATGAGGGAAGCATTTTTAATTTAAGACTTTAAAACAGGAGACTAAAGGCTGAAGAGAGATCACCTCACTAAATACGCATACGTCATACCTGCTTGAAGAAAACAAAAGGCTAGATGCGTTAGAATACCGCGCGTATACCAACCCTTCCGCCTACCTGCTCAGCCTAGTCCTTGTCAGAACTGAAATATTAAAACAAAGGAAATTTTACAGTATTAATCATCCAGTGTTATTTTCTTTGTAGAAAGTGTTTAATTCAGGTTCCTACTTATAGCTATTTCAGATGCTTTGGCACTTGCGAACAAACTGAAAACGACGTCAAAAGTGTTTTCTGATAGTGTTTATTTTCATCTCCTTCCGTTTCCTAAGACAGAATTCTTATTGATCACAGTTTTTCTGTTCGGAACAGCGGCGTCTCGTCCCAGTTTCTCCTTATAGTTTTACTAGATTTGAATGCCTGTCCTAATAATTCAACGGTTGTTATTTAGACTAATCCATCATGGTTCACATCACTTCACATGTATTGCCAATCCTCTCATTTTAATAACCCTGAACTTATTACGTTTAAATCTTTTAAGACTAGTCAGCTGCCTTCTCACGCTGTAGTACCTACACCTCCATGAACGCCCCCCTAAAAAGGCGTGGCTAGGTTCCAGAAAACAGCTAGAGATTCGAATTTTTCATGTCCATACCCTCATGAAAAACTCACGTCCTGTTTAGTGACGATAAGCAAGCCGTATGACGCAAAGAAACCAGGAATTCCTTTCAGAAAATCGTGCACATTAGAACATTACCACTCCATACAACTCATGTGACTGCTTTTTGGATGGGGCAGCTAAAGTCCTGTCATCACCATACCGAGAGCATTCATCCCTGTTTAGGGTCAAATATTTCCACTAAATCTTGCTCCGTAATCCAGCAGGAATGCTGACGTAATCGATCAGGACCATGAATAGCCAGTACTTTTATTCGCAGTGGTTTCCGCAGTTACGATGAAGGCCAATGCATATTATCCAAGTGCTCAGATGGGCATAATGTACCTTCATGTTAGCATCTAATTTGAGTCAGGCATAGAAGTGTATCCCTCATTTGGTGTAACTGCTACTTGGAACTTTTGTGCCAAAATCATTCAGTGCACTACTTCAAAATTTCAGCTGCTGGGTGATGGTTGTAGCTGAAAGCACAGCGGCCCCAATGTAAATTAGTTTCGTCTTTACCTTGTTTACTTGTCGAATTAAAGGAAGCCAAATATTCCGGAGGAGCATTTTTGAAGGGGTTCAGAAATAAAATAACTCAACCAATTTGTGCACGAATTAATTCAACACAAGTGTTACGTGATGTAAAGAATAGGGAGCCTAATTTCTAAATAAGGACCCACATCATGCTCATTAGCTGGATCCTGCGGATTAACCAAAGCAACATGTTTTCAGCGAGTCTGAATGTCAGTGATGACTTTAACATTCAATCAGACAGATTGAGAGCACGTTAACCTCATTATTATGCGTCATCCCAATGTATTCGTAGTCGTCTGTTAGCAGGCATCTTAAGATGAAATTAATCAACCTACCCTTCCACAACTGTTCAGTTTTTGAAGTAAACGCCGCTTTACAACATCGGCTGGACTCAGGAAGAAAAATCATGTGCGGACCAAATTGCAACTCTACGCATCATTATAGAACAGAGCATAGAATGGCAGTCAATTTTCTACCTCAACTTCATCGACTCTGAGGAAGCCTTCGACAGCGTCGACTAAGAAGTAATTTGGCAGTTGCTTCAACACTACGGTTTTAGTGCCACAAATCTTTATCAACCTCATTCAACAGCTACATGAAGCGCCACATGCCAAGTGATCCACAATGGAAAGGTCAGTGACACCTTCGAAGTGAAGACAGGTTGACAGGTAAGACAAGGCTGCCGCCTACTGTCACCGATGATCTTCCTGATTGTGGTCGACTGGACTGGGTCATGCAGCAAACTGTGAGGAGCGAGAAGATGATCATACGCTGGCTGGACCGATGAGAAGAGTGTGGAAGATTTGGATTTCGCCTATGATGATGATTTATGTCTGATGTCTTGTAGCACAAACTGGAAGATCTACAGGTGAGAACTAAGAAGTCGGCAGAAGAGGCAGGGCAGCGAAGATGGGACTTCAAGTGAATGCAGAGAAGACGGAGGTGATGAAGATACCCAACCAACAATAGCATGAACAACAAGCACCAATCACTGTGAACGGAAGAGATCTGAAGGAAGTAGTCTCTTTCACCTACCTAGACAGCATCTCTTCAACTACAGGTGGTGGTCCAGATGAGGATGTCAAAACCAGGATTGGAAAAACAAGACAGGCCTTCATTGATCTGAAATCAGTGTGGAGATCTACTGCGCTCAGCATAAAGCGTGAACTAGATCCAGATTTTCAACATTAATTCAGTCAAGTCAGTGCTTCTATGTGATGGTTCAAAAAGTTGGCTTGTCACGAAGGCATTTGCAGCATACTACAGAGATACATGAACAGCTACCGCCTCGGTCACTGGATACTGAAGATCAGATCAGATGGCCAGAATAATAGGAATGAGCAAGAAGAAACTCTGGCTGGCGACGAACCAACCAAGAAGCTATCATGCATTAAATATGCAGAAGAAAGTGGAGATGAATTGGATTGGGCATACACTGAGGAGACGGATTGGGGGCATCACGCGCCAGGCCAGGCCAGGCCGTCGAGTGTAATCGGAAGGGAGAGACGACGAGTTGGGCGTCCGAGGAGTGGGTGACATGAAGGAGATCGTTTGAAGAAGAAAATGAAGGCTTGTGGGTAGTCGTGGAGCGCGGTTGAAAAGACTGCAGAGAAGAGAGTGCAATGGAGGCGTGCAACAGAAGCCCTATGTCCCACCAGTAATTGATGCGTCAAATATTATTAATGAATATAGCAGCACTGTTTAGCAGCCCATGTTTCAGTTAAACGAGCGCAAGCCTTTGGGATTATTTTTCCTCAAGGTCTAGACTAGGAAATGATAAATTTCTGCTTACTTTTTGTGCGTTGTTTCTCATCTGGTTAATACGAAGTCGAAGAATACTCCTCTAAGAACCTTTAATCGCAACACGCGCAGAAACTGACGACTGGACCTCAACCTCTCTAAAAGTCCTAATTTTGAAAGAAGAAATGTTGATTGACATTGGACTTCTGTCGTGAGAGTGACAAACTAATCGGTCAGGGATAAATCGTTTCCATTGAACATAAAACGAGGCTCTTCATAAGGTGAAATCATAGGATAGTGTCAACCCGTGAAACTGACACTTCCATTCCTGGTTTATTTGTTTACTGAGATCATGTAAGCAATAAACATGTTAAGAGCTTCCTGAGAGAATTCGAAGGCCGATTACAAAGTATTCCTTGAGTAAATGTTTCACAACTTTTCAGTTCACAGCAAACTCCAACATTTCTCTGAAAATGCTGCTGCTGACACAGTGTGGAGTTCTTGGAAGCCTCACTCTGATTTTCAAACCTACTGACTTTCATAAGATATTGAATTTTTACTAAATTCGTTTACCTTTTGTTCAAGATTCCCCCATGGCCTAGCACCACATTCATGAGGATGAACAAAGTAAGAGCGATAAATATCGCTAGCTCACTAAAAAGCTGTATTGTTGGACTCATGCTAGTCGTATGCCGTCAAGTATATTAAGGTGAAAGTCGACGAACACGAAGCGCGAACACCAGGCTAAACAGCAGTGCCCTGCAACATGCTGAAATGGTATCACTGTGAAAAAAGCGTAACGACCAGTTGTTGATAAGTTTTCTTTATGCTTGCGGATAGATACACTGTTCCAGGGGGCACAGGGCAGTGTGAGTTTGGTGGTGGCAGCAAGAATTCGGAAAGAAAGAAAGGTGACCTAACAACTCAGCAAATACACAGGATGTACTTACATCTGATAATAAATGATAACTGACGGTAGAGCTGGACAATGAAGAGGTGGGGCAGTTTAGAAATCGAAACTCTAAGGTGAGCAAGTAAGATTTCGAATGCACTACACAGTTTTAGGTTCGACTATTCACAGTATTTCTTCCCAATTCCACCTCGTAATACCTGAAACGAGGTGTTGATTCCATCTAGATATGTACTGCATTTGGCACTTGTGGCTGATCTCGCTTTAAAAAAGTATTTTCTGTTTCTGTCACAGAAAAGGAAATTCATTTGAGCGCAGATGACTAGAAGGTAACAATGTTACTCGGAAGGACAGACCAGTGAGCATTGAGGTATTTCATTCAGAGATAGTTTAACTTTCACGGAGTGAAACATTCACCCTGACAGTGTTTTGAATGGGCAAGAGTTATTCCGGAAGGGCTTCCTTAGAACGCAGAGGAGCCGAAATCTCACCATCAGGTGGACAAAACGATTGTTTCCCACTGTTATTAAGAGCTGATTAAGAGAATTAGTGTGCTAATCCGAGACAGAAAATCATTTTGCCGTCATACGGCCTAGTAATTACATGGCACTAGTAATAAAAGATAATGCTAAGATTCTTTTACTCACATGGGTTATTGCAAGCCTCTCCAAATGAATAAATGAGAGGACTTTCTCTTTTCACACACGAATTATTCTTTTGAAACTTCTGGAGGGGGGGGGGTTAGACGAGCTTTATCATTTGTAGGTAGGCGATAGATGCTGATGAGTTGGAATGCCTCTCAAAAACAGACAAAAGTGTCATTCCTTATGTACTCCGGCCTACGTGACCTCCAGATGCTGTCATTTGGCCCAACGAAGCCATCAGCACTTTCCCAGTGTCTAAATCGTTTGATTGGCACAGGGGAGGCTTTTTGATTTTAGTCTTCAAAGCATTCAGATGCTGCCGTATAGGGGAAGTAAGGAACCAGATTTTTAAGTCTTACAATAGCTACTTTAGACTCGTTGCAACCGTCAAGATCAGAACTTTTTGAGGTTTTCACCGACGATAGCATCTGGAGTGACGACAAGAGATTCGTGATTGAACCTTTCAGCTCGGAGAACACAAAACCGCCAGAGCCTACTGGTACCAGAAGTATATTCTGCAAGAAATAGTGTTTATGCCATGACGTACAGCGTCATCTTAAGAAGTCGTATATCATCGTAGTACCTGAAGACAAACACTGGTCTGCTACCGCCTCCATGCGATTATCTCAAAAACTCCCAGAACTGATCTTTGACCACAGGTGTCTTATGTAAATCACTTACCTTGTGAGACGGTGGTTGCGTTAGCTTTCGTGAAGGTAAGAATCAAAGCCAGTAAACACGGTCAAAAGTTGTATTGAAGTATGAAAGGTCTTGTCTTACGAATTCGATTATTTCATACCCAAGCACCTTTAGAGAAGCAGCCCTATATGTTTTGGGTACAGATGCTGGACACAGTTGTATGAGAGTTGCGTTAAGGCTAGGTGTGTTGTTGAAGGGCATTGGCCTACCGCAGAAACGTCCTTGACCACAAAGAACTATTAAATAAGTAGTGTTCATGAAAATTAATTTTGAACAGGCTATCATAAGTCAAGAAGTAGGTGAAGAAAACCCGTGTTTCCTTCCTGTGGCTAAAGAGATCCCGAAGTGGGGAAGCCTTGTGTACCTAATGCAACCTTACTCGAATACCTTCGTAAATATCCCGTGTACCAGTATTACGTCAACACTTATTTTAACTTTGTGCACATACACTGGATGTCAATAATTAATTACATTTTTTCCTGCCTTGTGCCGCATCTTCCGTTCCATCCGTTGTGTATTTTTTGCCACTTGTCGGTTAGGACAAGATACTTAACACTCAGGTTAAACAGAGGTGTCTATCCCGATTCCCTGTGTTCCCGTTGGCACTTATTCTGAATGGCTGTCAATATGCTTGAGGGGTCGTACGGAAGTTGCGAAGGTGACACCTGTTGAGGAGAATTCCGGATACTCATCTCATAATTTTATTTAGCCGCCAAATCAGCTTGCTGCATATTTAACGGATGTTGGACCCATTTTTCATCAAGCGTCACTTTAATCGGATCTACCGTTTCGTTTGGCAAGTATGAACCTTTTTATCTTGCACGCTCATATATTTTTTCATTCTGGTTCTGCTGGGTGTTTCCACGCATGTCAGGCGGTGATGTCACCGGTTCTTTAGGATCAGGATTCGTTGGTGACCTCCCCCTACGGTTACAATATTCGCCCCTAGAGATGTAAAATATATCCCGCCAGGTTAGGAAACCATTTCACTGCAAACAGAATAACCTCACAGAATATGAAAGTAGGTCTTCTCAGCACTACTAAGTCGAACGATATTGCAGACCATCCGCAGCAACGCATCATACAACCAAATGCAGGACAATCGTAAGACATCCTAAAGCTAGCAGTTATTCAGTGTACCCCACTGTCCAGAAGGCAGGCTCAATACCACATTTTAAGATAGAGAAACCAGGTGTAAACAAGTCGTCGGTTGAGATGGATGCTGGAATCAACGGAAAGGGGCTAAATCGAAAAGATATGATTGTGAGGTTTGTCGGCAAATGCTCAGTGGGTCCCCGCATGTAGTGATGATGCTATTGACAGCTATAGATTGGCAGCAATAGGTGACTGCATGCAATAAAAAATGATTCAAATAATGGATTCCAAACTTCATCGCTGCTCCATTTCAAATTGTGCCACTGCTCTGGGGCCATTAGCTGATTGGTTACGCTCTGCCCGTCGAGCTACCGAACCAAGTCACTTCTTCGAGAAAGATAAAGAGCTGCTCGATAGAGCAACATTTCTGCTCGAAAGAGACGCAAATACTGTATTGGCACTAGTGACGAAAGCCCCCCAATGTTGTTGGGACGGTTATACAGCAAAAGGTGTATTGTACCCACCAATCTTCTTCCCACCCAGTACCACTGCAACGCAATCATTTGGAGTTTGGCGGCTGTGTACCTGTCTGTTAAACTTTTCGGGCGTTTGTTGGGGGCACTACTTTTACACTTTTGCACATTACAAAGACTTCAATAAATCGATGTCAGTCAAATGCAACTATTCCTCATATGAAATACGACACCTAAAGTTCATGTCGCAGTTTAATTCCTGTTATCAGCATATTTAAGGCACCATAGGCAAAGTCGCTGATGCCCAGATGAGTAGTCACCTCAGCTAAATCCTTTCTTCGCACTCTGATTACCAGAGCTCATCGAAGCTACAAAATGACGACCTGGAATCAAGAAAGGTAGTATCTTCGAGAATGACTTACTTAGTTGTCCCCGAAAACCAACGCAGTTGCATGCGACACAGACGCAGGAAAATTTCATCTTGTTTATCCTAAAGCAATGAGATATGGGATTTTGACGATCTCCGTAACCTTCTTTTCATTATTATTATCTGACCTTTCGGTTCAGCTTTTTGAGAGTCGATGAAGTCAAGGTGGAGAGTTGACTGCCATTCTATGCTGTGTCCTGTGATGACGCGCAGCGTACCGTTGCGATTTGATCCGCGCACTGTTAGTACTTCCTGAATCCAGCCAGTTGCGGCTGTGATTTCGAATAGGGTTAATTTTTAATCTCTCATGGTAGATGTGGCCTTACATTTTGCTTGATGCGGACTGGGAAGGGGGCATGACTTCGTACCAGTCCTCGCGAAGACTACGGTCTCCTTCGTTTGGAAGTCTGGTAAGATACCCTTTCTTCCAATTGGCAAGTACTTTTTCTTCCTTCCAGACCCTTTGCGAAAGTGATGTCAGCATGTCAACTGTTGTCTCTGTACTTGCTTTCCGTGCTCCTGGGAGAACTCCACCTGCTCCTGTTGCTTTTTCGGCTTTCAGAAACTTTATCGCGTTTGTGAATTCACTCGTAATTTTATCGGAGAGCATATGTTTGCCGGTGGTTCTGTGGCTGGGCTGCTGGCAGCATTTCTGGAAGAGTTGCGGGCGGTGGTTGCCGATCTAAGAGTTTTTTGGGTGGTCAGCGCATTGTCACCGTTGTTTCTCCTCTCCGGTAACTAGGTGTCCTTCACTCTCTGACTGTTGCATTTGCGTTGATCTCCTCCCAGATACCAACCTGGTTATTTGATATAGTGTTGTCAGGTCTCTCCTACCAGCAGTCTGTTCTGTTTTGGCTGCAAGTGTGTCGTAGAAGTTTTTCTGTCTTTTTGCGCGCTCTTCTTCACTACTTTGCCTAGTACAATGTTTTATGGGCTGTGGTCAGTCACTCTCTCCTTTGCTCATCCCTGCAGTGCAACGCGCTGGTTCATATTCTGCCTCTCCCCCTCTATCAGCCTCCATGTGTCTGTAAGATCCATTCCTTGTCTTGCTTCTTCTTCCTTCCTGACACCCCTATGCAGGTTTCCTTCGATGTCCCTTTCTATGGGTTCCAGTGTTCCTTCATGCAGATCTCCTCGGGAATGTTGCCCGATGTCTATCATTTTTCCGTGATGGCCGACATGGAAATGTCTTTTGCAGTTTAATCCTTCAATTTCTGGGTGTTAAACCTAAACTGTGGCCTATCACTAACTTTCTTGAAGGCTTTCAACTTGATTTGGGAGATTCCTTGCACTAGATAGTGGTGTAAACCTATATCTAGCGCATTCTTGATCTTGTGTCTAGTAGACTGCGTCTCCACTTTCTTGAGGTTGAGATGAAGTCAATCTGGTTTTTAGTGCGTCTCCCTGAAGTCGTCGTCATCATCAGACAGAGTAACGAGAGGTTTGAATGGTCCAACATTAATCGTGAAATGAAACGGTGAGCGCGAAATTGACTTACTTGTCGAGCAGAAGAAACTTACCTTCATATCAATGCCCCACTCCATCAGCTTCCCACTTTCACACCCAGATTTGAGTGCATGCACATGAGCGCATACATCAAACACTGATAATAAAAATAAAAGCATTTTGATCCTTGATCCTGGTGGTTAGGTGTTAGAAAAGTGTCACATGACCATGAGTTACCTGAGTAACTCAGTCCCTCTTTATCACTCGTCTGATCTGCTTAAGGTCGATGCTGAATTGATCAACATTCCTAACTCTACCATTTCCTTATTAAACTGTCCCATACCACTTCCTTTTAATGTGAGCACAAATCATCAACCCGATGCCTCAAAACTTATCTGTGGCCAACACTACGATTCCTAACGATATTAGTAAGCTGCTCTTTCAAGATATGTGCGGTTGCCTTCAGCTGTTATGGCGTTTATTTTCTGTGCCTCTCTACCTCAGCTTTATCGACTCTGAGAAGGCCTTTGGCAGCGTCGACCGACAAGTAATTTGGAAACTGCTTCAATACTACGGAGTACCGCAAACCTTTATCCGTCTCATTCAACGACTATATGAAGATACCACATGCCAAGTAATTCATAATGGGAAGCTCAGTGATGCTTTTGAAGCGAAGACAGGAGTGAAACAAGGTTGCCTACTATCCCCCATGATATTCCTGATTGTGGTCAACTGGATCATGCAGCAAACAGTAGGCAGCGAGAAGAGGGGGATACACTGGACTGCGGAAAAGAACCTAGAAGACTTGGATTTCGCCAATGATGACTTGTGCCTGATGTCACACAAACCTGAAGATCTACAGGCGAAAACTAACACGTTGGCAGAAGAGGCTGAGCAACGAAGACGGGACTTCAAGTGAATATAGAGAAGACGGAGGTGATGAAGATACCCCACCACCACCAACGATAACAAACTCCAATCACCATCAACGGGAGAAACCTAGAGGAAGTAGTCTCCTTCACCTATCTAGGAAGCACTGTTTCAACTACAGGTGGCGGCACAGTCAAGGATGTCAGAGTCAGGATCGGTAAAGCAAGACAGGCGTTCATTAGCCTGAAACCAGTGTGGAGATCTTTTGCACTCCACTCAGCATGTGGAACAACATCCGGATTTTCAACACCAACGTCAAGTCAGTGCTTCTGTATGGTTCAGAGACTTGGCTCGTTGCGAAAGGGATTTCCAATAAACTGCAGACATTCATCAACAACTGCTTACGCCGGCTCGCTACTGAAGATCAGATGGCCAGAATAATAGGACTAAGCAACAAGGAGCTCTGAGAACGAACCAACTAAGAACCTATCGCTTAGCAAATATGCATTGGAAGGAAGTGGAGATGGATTGGGCATACATTCACTGAGAAGGCCGACTGAGGACATCACGCGCCAGGCCGGGTACTCGAGTGGAGCCCAGATGGGAAGCGACGAGTTGGGCGTCCGAGGTGAGGGTGAAATGGAGGAGATCGTGAGAGGAGGAAATGAGAGCTTCTGGGCTGTCGTGAGGCCAGGTTCAAAAGATTTCGGAGAACGGAGTTCACTGGAGACGTGCTGCTGAAGCCCTATGTTCCATTAGGAACCCAGGGGACTAATAGTAATAATAATATAATAAATGTTCGGTTAGTCTGCAAAAAGATGTCCAGTTTGACCTTGCTCGCGCTGCTATTCTCCCCTCCAATCATACCGATAACTGGGGCTTGGGGTACTTCAGACGTTTCTGACATAAGCGTTTGCCTTGGCAACAGCACGCGTTTTCGCGGCGAC